AGTGAACGTTAGCCAGACACCACAGCCGCAATGAATGCGTCATGCCTCGACCGCATGGGAAGAACTAGGGAACGCACGCCGTTCAGCTGTGAGAACTGAACGTAAGCCAGACACCACATAACCGCACTGGACGTCTCATGCTTCGATCGATCGGTAGTCGGTCTTTACACGGGTGAAAAGCCAGCGAAAGGGTTTCCTGCGAAGTGGTTAATGGGGCGCTATGCTAGCAATTGAGAAAAACATCCGGGCCGTATGTGATGATCGGTCGATGGGCACCGTATTGCTAGGGCCACAAAAGCTGTTATCGCCTCATGACTGGCTTCCAATAAGCCCGTAAGCTTATTGGAGGCTGCTTTCGCTGCTAAAGGCAATCATACCGCCGGGAGCACATTATAAGGTTACAGTGTTGTTCGCTTCACCATTTCTATCGCGTGTGTGGTACAGCTGAAAAGTCACCCTTCATGGGTGCATAAAAACGATCTCTTGACGTGACAATGCTCTTAGATTTCAGTCTGCCCCCACGCACTGGTGGCACCATTAGACAGCACACAAATTTAGTCATGAATGCAACTATTGCTCTCAGAGTCAGACAATTGGTAGCTGTACACATTGATCAGGCCTTCGCCGGTGGTTCTCGTGTACAACGAAGGATATACATTTATTCATTTCCTTACTTATATTTAGATGAAATGTGTTTTTGTCGGTAAATATCGACGAAGTAGATGCTTACAACATTAAACAAAGCGGACGGCCACGCACCGTCATGGATGAAGTAGCAGCTTGCGCGGTTGCGCAAGAGGTACGCAGTAACAACCATCTCAAAATTCGGCAACTCACACAACAGTGGGAAACCACACCGTAAGCTGTGCATCGGATACTGAAGGCAAAATTTCCCACGAGGTAAAATGCACTGAAGGTGCAAGTTTTGGACGCATGCGATTCGAAGAACCGCCTGGAATTCACCCGTTTTCTTTTAAACAGTCTGGACATGTATTGCATTTCGTTCACCGATGAGGCGATGTTCCATCTGCATGGCGAAGACACAAAACATGTTTGGGCAACAACCAACCCATGGCAATGTAGCGCCTCACGTGTGCAACATAGCGCGAAGTTCATGGCCGGCGCTGGGTTGACTGGTCGAAAAAGTATTGGACCCTTTCTGCTTTGCAGCAGTGTGCCCAGTAGGTTGTCGTTTAACAGTACCAATGTCTGACATTTCTTAGCATCCTCGTAAATGGAAATGTTGCAGACCAGCGTCATACCGCAGCTACAATAGGAAGGGTTAATGAATAACGTTTGGTAGCAGCACTATGGCGCACCTGCACATTCGGCGCAATCGGTTCGTGCCTACCTGAACGATTCGGTGGACGTTGGATCGGTCGCGGAAGACCGATCGAATGGCTTGCGCCATCACCGGATCTGAATCCCATGGATATTTTCCTATGGAGATACTTGAAGCGCAGAGTTAATAGAACGAAACCCAAAAACCTGGATGAACTGAAAGAGAACATTGTGAACGAATATAGGCAGATTTTGTTTGAGATGTTGCAGAAAGTGCTCGCCAACACCATTCGGCGAATGCTCCTCTGCAGCCAAAACGACGGTGGGCAATTCGAACGTCTAATTCCATGATACTTACCGACAAAAACACATTTCATCTAAATATAAGTAAGGAAATGAATAAATGTATATCCTTCGTTGTACACGAGAACCACCGGCGAAGGCCTGATCAATGTGTACAGCTACCAATTGTCTGACTCTGAGAGCAATAGTTGCATTCATGACTAAATTTGTGTGCTGTCTAATGGTGCCACCAGTGCGTGGGGGCAGACTGAAATCTAAGAGCATTGTCACGTCAAGAGATCGTTTTTATGCACCCATGAAGGGTGACTTTTCAGCTGTACCACACACGCGATCGAAATGGTGAAGCGAACAACACTGTAACCTTATAATGTGCTCCCGGCGGTATGATTGCCTTTAGCAGCGAAAGCAGCCTCCAATAAGCTCAAAGGCTTATTGGAAGCCAGTCATGAGGCGATAACAGCTTTTGTGGCCCTAGCAATACGGTGCCCATCGACCGATCATCACATACGGCCCGGATGTTTTTCTCAATTGCTAGCATAGCGCCCCATTAACCACTTCGCAGGAAACCCTTTCGCTGGCTTTTCACCTGTGATCGATCGAAGCATGACACGTTAAGTGCGGCTAAGTCGTGTCCGGCTTCCTTTCCCTTCTCAAAACCGAACAGCTCGGTATGCTCTGCGGTCTTAAGCCTGCCGGCAAATCAATTTGCGCCCTTGGACAGTTAGCAAATCAGGGACGTTTCTTGGCGTGCCTTTGATATTTGCTAATTTTTGATAAAGAATAAATGTTCTTGTGACACTGCTGGGATATGAGGAAGCGCTAGTTTGCGGGGTGATGCGCTCTTCGTCAGTGCGGTCAATTTCTGCTTTTTTTGCAGTTTGCATCAGTCACAGTCGCTGAGCTCTCATTGTTTGCTGCCTGATTTCGTGTGTATTCCGGGAAGGCGTCCTCCCCGATCAACGTAGCGTTTAGCGACGGAATAATTATTGTGACACATTAAGGGAAGTGCTTCTCGTCCAGTCCTGCCTGTCGATGGCTAGCCCGTGATCCAGTTTAAGTGTCAGCCGCTTGGTTATAAGAGGATTAAGATGAAGGTTAGACGAGCGATTAGCTAAAACAAAGCTCCATTATCGTTCACGCGAAGGTGCGTGGTCAGCATTAAGGACAATTGGTTTATATTTCGCATTGTCTATTGACCTACAATTCATTGCATGCCAGGAGACAAGGTGGCGAAATTTTGGTGAAGTCTGCAAAGCGTCATCAGCAACCTGAATTTGCGGGCAGCTCACGAATTCCATTCCTGGCGACAACTGGAAAAGACTAACGGTCCTGCTTGTATTGATGGTGAGTTGGAACTTTGACGCCGCCTAAGCGAGAACCGTCGGTATACGTTGCAAGTCATCCTCACTGTGTTCAAATAACGCGTAGTCATCCGCAAACGACGAAATCCGGATGGGTGTCTAACACACTACGGTTCTCGCTCCGAAACGACAGATGTTCAGCAACCCACCATCAATGCGGTGGTCAAGACGGACATGGTAATCAGAAGCATTAAATGTATATGGCACCATGACAGTCAGATAAAAATTAAACAGAGCAGGGACTAAGACTCAGCCTTGTTTCACTCCAGAGACGAAAAAAGCAAAGTCATCCGAAGTTTCAAGTGGCATTTGGTGTACTCGCTGTGTAGTTGGATTGCGACTCGCAATCTCTATTCAGACCTCGGTCATTACGATCACAAGGACCGTAACCGAATTGGTGGTTCGGTGTTGCTCCTCCCAACCCTGAGACCCCATGACCGGTTTCGTCCTCCTTTGGACTCATCTGAAAGTTAGTGTCCGGAAGGTTTATGCACATGTTAGTAAGGTGCGATGGACATGTAACTTGTCCATAGACCAGAAAGACCATGCGCAAAACTGCAACGCGTCTAGTGTTAATATGTGGATTAGGGACATGAGCACTGTGTTGCGGGCATTAACAGAACGCATGCGTTTAGCCATCAACGCAGTGCCTGATATGGGTACAGAATGCATAATACTGAGCTCCATCAGTTAATCGCAGACTGTTGACAACGAACTGAATACGAGGATGTGGTAACATTATTCGCGTATGGCTGTGGAAGACCTGCTTCAGCAGTTTTAAATTGCGTCCGATAGAATGAAGTAGTGGTATAGCCAGTTGATGGTGCGGCAAAGATGAGTGGAGAAGCTGACCTAAAGATGTGCTCAGATGTATGAGTTCTGTCTTCATTGAACGTGGACCCTGGGATCCACCACACAAACGGTTAGAAGACATATAGATAGTGCAGTCGAGAAGTCAGTAGGAAGTTTGCCCCCTCAATCTTAAATCCATTAACCGAGTCGCAACTTTGCCCCTACCTAATTGGACCTTCCTCTCAAGCCTTTCCACATCTTTGCAGACACACAGTGTTATGGCGACGTGAGTCAGGGTAACTGTGTACACTGCATTGTGACGAACGAAGCAGTTGACCAAATGAACAGAACTGACTTGGAGAACAGTTCCCATAAACACGAGTGGCCAAGGTATGGAGGATAGCCAATAAGTGATATTCCAGTGCTCAGGAACGTTGCGGTTGCCAGATGGGATCACTGTGTTTGCAACCAAGGTATGCTCAAGTGAGTACTAAGCAGCGGTTATCACATCAGTTATTTAGAACAGTAAATAATATTTAATAAGTTGGTTGGAACAGCTGCTACGTAGGTCTGCCCACCGCCTACCGTGGAGAGTTTTGTTCTGGTGACCAGATGTCAGGTAGCACAAAACTCGAGGTAAAAGCCGTTAGCAGCTAGGACCGAAGTCACGGGCGATTAAACTAGGTATTGTCAATGCGTCTCGCTTCCAAAACTGTAGTCCATGCTACCTGTCTTGTGCTTGGTTCGAGACGTTACAGCACACTACTCGCAGCAGACACCAGTAACGTGTCTGCTGTCGTTTCCTAGTCGGATTGATGATGTTATCTGGGGGGGGGGGGTGATCGCTGATTATGACGCCGATAAGTAAAATCCGCTTGAAAGCTACCTCGGTGATGCCACCTTATCTTTGCATGCTAGTCAGCTATTCGCGATCGTGTCGCTGACAACTTGTAGGCGGCTTGGCTCTGAATGTTTGCTCGAGACATTGAAACTTTACACTAGTTTCCATTCTCCCCACTCATTAGTTCTCAACCCCAAGATCGATATAGATGTAGGGCGATGAAGCACCAGTTCCAATTACTGATGATGATGAGCGATTGGAAAGAAGCTATGTGAAACATGGTTGCGATTCACATAAAAAGATGCGTCTATGTTGCAGGTAGTCACCGAAAAAAGGTATACTGAGAACGACCTGAGATCACCGCGTCACCAATAGAGGAGATGAAGTGGCCAGATTTCTGGGAGATCCGTAAAACGCCCAAAGCAGGCAAGTAAAAACACGATCCAATAACGACCTGTACAGAGAAATATGCATGCGCATAATTTATACATCAATTAACTCTGAAAAGTTCGTTTCAACTTGTGGCATGCATCAGTAAAAAGCTAGAAAAGATGAGCAGTGGCAAAAATGGGAAGTGATAAGTTGACGTATGCCCGGATGGTCAAGTGAGTGTTCAAAATAAGACGAGATTCAGGTTCTAAACAGAAAAATACTTTGCGGGGCTGATTTGGAATGCAGATATGAAAGACCAAGGATTAAAGTTACGGGGGGAAGCATAGGAAGGGCTTGGAGAAATTGGCATCGGAGGAAATGGATCATAGAAACAGTGACGAATAAGAATTCCGCAAATCATATGAGGAGATTCATGGAGGGAGATTAGTTCGACGGTTCAGCAAGCCACTGCTGCACGAAAGCCGGTAGAACAACCCAGAAGTGAGATCAAGTGTTTCTGGATAGCATATGTTCTCCATCGCTGTCGCACGAGTTGAGCAACAGTGCATGAGTCGGGTGGCGTTTGCGTCGTTGCGCTCGGCGCAAACATCGTGGACAATTGTCCTGCCGGGGATTCCGCAAACAGCTTCGGTGGAAACATGCATTGCACATCACACAAGACACAGTGTTAGCCTGTCCGAAGGGGAAGAGAATTTGTCCAGAGTGACAAACCTCGCAGATAAAGCCTTGTAGTCGACATCGACTGCACGTGGATAGGTGGTCCACCACGGGTTGTAGAGTCCCACGTAAGTGCATGTCCAGTTGGCCACTCAGTACAGCGCACAGGTCGGCCACACTCCACAAGTCCGGAGTTTCGAGCCAATGCGACGGTAGTTGCGCCAAGTTGGACAAGAGATCACGCGCTGAAACGGGATGGAAAATAACGACGTTCCGGCCCTGTTCGCATATAAACGTGCAGAAGGTTCAAATGACATAAAAGCAGTGCATTTAAACTGTCTGCCGGTGTGGCCGAAAGTTCTAGGATAGGGTGCACAGACTAGAGCCGACCAACATTTGCTCAGTTAAGTCATGTGACCTATTGGTGTAGTGCGAACCGGTAAGTTTGGAGAAGAAACGAAGGATTACTGGGTGCTGAAGTAGTCAAAAGTTAGAACTTACAAGTTGAAAAACGCTCGCTGCAATATAAACGATGAGAGCTACATACTCAACCAACTCGACCAGGCCCCATGAACCTCAAATGCATGTAGAACTACACCCAATAGGTGCCTAGACTGAAAGCAAAACTTACAGTTTACAATAGAACCTTGGTTCAATCAAAGATCAACTGTCGTAAATGTTACATGGCGATGTGAGTCAAGACAAGGAGGATAAAGTGCATGGAATAGAGCAGTCGTACCGAACCAAATAAGATTTTTTGGTGGCCTGAAACCACCGCGTACAAGCCAAACGGCTGAGTACTGCAAATCTATAGCTCCACTGATTACGTTGGCCATCGCTTGTTTGTCAATGGGGTCCGTGCGACCAACAAGCATATCGATATAATTCAACAGGGTACCCGAATGTCAGCTGCTCAGATGGAAGCAGGTGCAGCGAATGAGTGCACCCTCAATCATCTATCCTGCAAGCTGCAGATTGGGAGTGGCACCGGTGCCAGTTAGGTCCTCAGGGGACTGAGCAGAAATTTCAATAGTGAAGTCAAGTCAAAATAAGCTTTATGAAAACCTAATGGGTTCATTTTCAGCATGTACACTACCACAGCGGACACTTGGATGATAATATCAATATACATGCTTGGGTATAAAAGTGGGAAAAAAGCGGAATTGTTACTCCAACAAGCGCTCGCGCAGCATGTTATAGTGACTTTCGCTGTTTCAACAAGCAAACATGAAAGATAGGGCAAAACAGTATTACGATACGATGACGCGTGGTAGAATAAAATTCTGAATTTCGAACGAGTAGAAGAGAAAGAGAGCATTTTGGAAAGATCATTGTGAAGTGGATGTAGTCGATCAGTTAGTACCTTAGAAGAAAAATCATTGCAGGCATCAAGAGGTCTAGCAATGATCACATAAACTAAAGAATCTCTAGACAAGCCGCTGCATCTAGCAATGTGCTTTATAGATCGCACCAATAAGATGTGGTCTTTCTGAAGTAGTCCAGGGAAAATGACAGAAGGGCATTGTAGCCAATGGGGAATAATACAAGAGGTCACGAAGCAGAATATTAAAGTACGAGCTACTGAAAGCACCTTAAGTCTGAGGTCATAAAAAGAAAATTTTCTGACTTTTTAAAAGTTTTACAGAAGTGCGTGAACCAAGAAAGGTTCCTGGACAAAAAACGCCGAAATACTTGAGGGTGGAAGAGCTGGGTATAGGATTTCATTCACAGTAAATGTGTGGGAGGAATCTATGAGGGACCGCAATTTATCGCCATGTAGAAAGGAAAATATTAAATCCCTGCATTTACAAGCATTAAGCGTAAGAGATCTGAATGAACACCATTCCACCAGATCTTCCAACCCAGGATGAAGTGATGAGGAATCCTGGTTAGTGGGGGAAATACATCCCAGCACAACATCATAAGCATATTTGCACTGTATAAACGTGGTTTTTATAGGAAGATGTTCAACATACAAGGAAAATAGAAAAGGTGATAGGATCGCTCCCTGTAGAATACCACAGTCAGCACGGAGGACAGAGGATTTCTTGCCGTTCAACTTGGTGAGGTGAGTAGGATTTGTAAAATAGTCACGTAATCGATTACACACACCAGAGTGGACCCCATTTTCGGATAGCAGGTTTAGCAACCTTGATCTATCCAGGCTTCCGGAGGCGTTCGAATAATCCAGGAAGAGAAGTCATACGGGTTTACATTTTTGATCGAATGTAGAGGCTAAAGAATGAACAACATGTTACTGCATCCAATGTGAAACGCTGGGGTCTATACGCGAAGTGGTAGATATCGTCTTCAGGAGCGGGTGAAAATATCCGCGGAATTAACAGTCTTTCGAAAACTTTTAGGAGCACAGATGCACATGCAATTGGGCGATACTTTTGAGATTCAGTTTTTGGTACTGGAGTAATACTGGCCGTTCTCCAAATGTCTGGGATCACACCCGTAGTGAGGCATTTATTAAAGAGGTCTGTTAGAGGCAGTGTGAATTAGCACACTCCTTCAAAGTTAATGGTGAGAGAGCATCCGGACCCCAATCTTTGGTTGCCTTTAATCTTGTGAGCTTAGTGAGGCGAAACTAAACTCCGAATTCAGTTTATCCACATCCACTTCATCACTCTGGCTGAAAACACTCTTACCACAGAGCTGCCTTAGTAGTCTCCATAGATCGCGACAGTTATGGTTGTCTAGAACTGCTTCGACGCATAATTGGTCTAGCCTTTTTTTATATCTCGGATTTGATTGCCGTGGTTAGGCTTTCGACACGGGTAACATTCTTGCACTTGTAGGCCCATTCTTTCATCCTTCGAAGTCGCTTTAGTACTGGTGATGAAAAACTATCTGCACTTAGATAGATCGTTTCAACAGGGCAATACGTGCTAAAGCAATATTTGATGTAGGCCGTAAGATAGTCACATTCGAGCGACATGTTCTCGTCGTTGAAGACCGAAAAATCAGTTAACGAAAACATCGTCTGGAGCCTCGTGATATTTTACAAGGAGAAATCTCGCTGTTTGATAATCTCGTAAGGACGTCTGGTTAGTGTTAAAAAATTAGACCTGCTGTATAGGACTGGACACAGTTTTAAAATACAATGGTCAGAAGTGCTCAAAGGAGCCCGCTTTTATATGACAAACAACTGTCGTTTAGTTGTGAACACAGCGTCTAACTTGGCATCTTGTCTGGTCGAAACAGTCAGTAGGTCTACCAAGCCAAATGTCTTCAAGAATGTTGTATCCTTTCTAGTGAAGCCGCCAGCAACAACACAGATAGAACAATCTAATTTATGTAGTAGCATTGAAGAAAATTGATCTTCAAAAAGCATTAACTCCGATGCAGATGTGTCAGCAGCAATGTATACGTTTCCAACGATGACTGATCGAAAGCCACTTGGGAACTTCGATTTGCACTCAACTATATGGAAGCTTATAGAAATCGTTGAGTACGTAAATATTATGATTGCTGCGTTGCACCGACGTTGATTAACATAAGTTATAACGCCACCACCATGAAACTGGGGCTTCCTGGGACGGTCAGGCCTGATGGGAAAATAACCATTGAGTTGAATTACCTCATTTTCCACATCAGCATGCAACCAGCTTCCTTGTGATAGAATGATTCCTGTAGTAATATAATCATTTCGCTGCATAATGGCATTGAGATTACTGATTTTACCAAGGAGCGAGCGAACATTACTGGAAAGTAACAGTGGGACTTGTGGTTTGTCGAAAGTATATATATATATATATATATATATATATATATATTTGCAAAAGTCTGTTAACAGACATAATGCCATCAGAAACCATGGGATTCAAACGAAGGTACAGAAACAGTAAAATAAAACACAACACAACAATGTCCATGGTTTCCTCAGAGGGCGAGATACTACCCGGTTGCCCAAGCCGAAGTAGGGTGTTGACTTAGGGGACACCACCCCGAGCCTTTGGCTGAATAGCCTGTCAAACAGGGGCCCAATGCTCCCCAGAAGTACAGCATAAAGTTGCTGGAATACAATGCTTCGCCAGAATGAAGCAACGACTGAGGCCAAATTGCCAGCCAGCACGATGCTTGCGCTTTTTTCCCAGACACTTATTCGTAATACGTTTGCAAGTGTTCCTGATTTTATGCCCGTATTCGATAGGGCACGGATTTAAGGCAGTAACACGTAACGTTTTCAAATGGTCGAGGGAATAGGACAACACTGACCTTGAGAACTGATTAGAAAAAAATTGTTTCAAAGTTTAAAATAAAATATAGAATTCGCAGTGGTGTAAAATAATCCAACGAAAACAGCAACGGCCGAATTTGAAGACCCTGCCATCAAATCAGTCCGGACCCCCCTTCTGATGGAATGTTCTGAGTAGGCGCCTGCAGCGCGAAATAAATTATGCCTGGTTCCTGTTTTTACATCCGCTGCGTACAGAGACATTTCTAGCTCTGTTTGTGATCTTCCTGGTAATAAGGTAGACATGTGCTATCTAAGCTGCCAATAGGACAGACATACATAATGTACCGATGAGTTGTGACGGTGCTGGTGAACTTGCAATGGCGCTCGCAAAACCCCATGAACTAGGTTTTGGGGGTGAGAAACATCAAATCTAATGTAGATTTATACTACTTCATTGATAGTGTAAAGCACTGAAAAAGTGCCCATATGGATGGATGAAGCGTATGTTGACTTGAGATACGAAAGGAAGCGCGCATATGATTGCGCGTGGTGCAACCTGAATGACGGTTAAACTCAGCATGAGATCTGAAAACAACTGATCCGTGTACGGGAAAAAAGCGATTCAACCGGAGCAACAGGCCATCAGGTGCGACCGGTCAACACATTGGACAGTACCGGTGGATAAGGAAAATAACGGGACACTTCTGGTATTGTTCGTTCCATGACGGGTTTCCTCCTCATTTGCATATTCAGAACTGATTCAAGCCCAATGAGATTTAACTCGGTGACCTTATGATTACTTGCTGGATACCATAACAACTCAACTATTTTGAGCCAATAGCAACAGGCTTGTGACAGCAAGTGGTAAGCGAATCTGAAACACAATAAACTTTTCTCTCAGCTATGCGCCAGGACTGCCAAATACCATCTAGAGTAGAGTGGTCGATTCGTTCGGAGCTACTTTGATCAATCCGAACATCATCAAAGCATCGGAAGTGGAGGGTTTTGGTGCTATTCACTCTCAACGCAGGACCCCACACGGTTTGCTTCCCTCGTGAACTACTCATATACAGATAGAGTACGTGGAGTGTTTGCTTGGAACACAGGTTCGAGCAAGCACCCAGGAAAGAAGACAGGAGCCGATGGGTTATAGGGCACATAACTTTCAAGTGGGACGTCCTAAGGACTAACTAGTTAGGGTGAGGTTGAGCGGTCAGTTCAAGAAAGCAGTTGGTTTCAAGGTAAAATCGGAGTCAGTGTCATTCAAGCCATGCTCGCGTGCCTGATGATGAAGGTAACAACTGCAGATGGCCCGGAATAGACAAGAGACCAAGTATTTCAGTTCGGTTCAGTAAACAAACAACATCCCAGCTATCAAGGCACGAGTTGCTTAGATAATAATAAATAACATAATAGTGGATTAAAGGAGGTAGAGAGCAAAGCAGGATACAAGGAAAAGGGAGAAAGTAACTGGGATTGAATACTTACAACTAGGTGCCAGAAACCTCCTGCAGAGATGGCAGTAACTATGCAACTGCGACAGGGTCCGCAATCCCTGATGTGTTCCATCCCCAGGTCCCCATCCACGAAGACGATATGGGTCAGCCTGACCAAATTTGTTGCTGAACTCCCAAACATCTAAAGGCAATGTCATCGTTGGGCCACCACGTGGGTTCACCCAAGTAGGTTTATCAACGGCAAATAATGCGCGCTGAGGTTGGTTGTCGATGGGTAATCAAAGATGACTTGATCAACGGAAGTGATTCAACTTCAACAAATATTTTGGTACGGTACCGGAGTGTCGCCACATATTAACCAGCGCCCTGCCGCTTTGTCCGCTGGGTGCACACCTAACCACGCACATGAGCACACACTACGCAAGTACCGATGACCAAAGCTCGCCAGTTCATCAACATTTTTCAAAGTGTAATGACCACCTTTCTGGTTCATACAGAAACCTGGACCCAATAACACCCTGGACACTCAATAACGCCCTGCCTTCTATTAACGACATCATTCTATATGGTTTAACAGATCGGAGACATTTGGATTGTGGTGGCAACACACGGTACACACACGAGATGCTAGATGGCACCCGTATAGTTTGGATTTTTTGTAGCTACCTGGACAAATTGGGAATAGGGATAAGAGATATGAGAGGAGTTGTGTAACACACTCGAGGGTGATAAACAGTCATATGGAGAATTCACAAAAATGCAGGAATTAAAAATTATACCGTTATCGGTTTAGGCTTTCAACGGCGGTGCAACATTTGGGAAAGTATGCGTTACACTGCAGATAACCTAGTTGAGAAAGGGATGTTCGAACACGCAAGACATAAACGCGGTGATGTCCACAAACACCTTGAGCATATGAACCGAAGGTTGGATGGCTTTGTGAATGCCAAAAGTGAGAAAAGACGAATATGCGATGAACAACATATGACCCCAGATTACTAGCAGGAGAAGTAAGAATTCAAAGCGGATTGAAACATAAAGCAAGCGTAGCAATCGTATGGTTGGATGGTCAGGTGGAAGCAATCGTTGTAGGAATGGATTTCGACGTGCAATCTCAATGTGGACCGCGATTCGCATTGAAGTGATTATTGGTCAACTGATCACTGGGACCATAACTGCTGAAGAAGAATACTGGGTGCTGCCCACCCGAGAACACTGCACTACACGACCGGGTCGAGCTTATTTGGTCACATTAGGTACATCTTTAAATTCAACCTATGAAGACCATAGATGACCGTGGGAGGGGCCAGAGGTATCCAAGTAGTCTGCAACTAGTTAGGTGTTAGACGAATGAGCTGTTGGCGTCGACGGCTAGGCGTAAATGTCACTGACAGAATTTAGCGACTGTTTTCGTTCGCACGAGGGCCAAAGTGTTGAAGCTGCACGGCTACCGGTGCTCCTTTGTCATAGAAGACGATGGAACATTACTTTGTGGGAAGACATATTGGTGACGTGTCAACCACATTCCGTGATCAAACATGCGGAGTGGAAGTGAGTCCAGCATTTGTACAACCTGAACAGAGGCAAAAAGTCACTGGACAGGGTACAGTCAATTGGAGCCCAAGGTCATGACACAACTTCACTTGAGGATAAGTGGACGAACAAATTCAACACAGCAACACACGCAATTCGTACGTGCGCGCTCCCCATCGAAGGTGTCAGTGGAATTTGGCAACCTTGGTTGTAGCGTAAACGCGCGGCAACGGAGAGCCCACAAGTTCCGCCGATGGACAAAGGGATTACACGCCTGCCTTTTAACCCAGTGGTCACCGGTTCGAACGCGTGAACAACCTCGCGGTGTAACCAGACTAGTGGTGGTGGTGTGGCGGTGAAGCGTTGGTACGACGTACCGATATGCTGATGGTGCCTTCGTTCCCTTCTTTTTCCCCTCTGCATACTAGCAAAGGCTGGATACAATCAGAGCTTGCAGTGCAATCCGCTGAAAGTTACGTGATGTGAGTGACCACAATCACATGAGCCGCCACTTGCCACAGTTCAGAAATGACACCAAGGTCAGAAGTAATCTTGTGAAGCTGAGACGTAAGCAATATAGTCATCTAGTGTCGAGGGAACTATTTCTACCCTCGAATCGGTCAAGCATGGAAGGCTCCCCAAAAAGTCCCCTGTCACTCACCCCCACTGGGATTACATACCAAAAGAGTGCACGGGAATGAGTATAGCGGGTGTGCTTTTACATTTATTAGAGGTAGGGTTGACCGTGTCTACTCCAGACGGTTTCGCATGTTAACTCATTCAATTCCTAGCTTCCAAGCATTGCCATGCATCGGTGCACTTAACACATTCGATACTTGGACCCTAGTACATCATATCGTTTTACTAATGTGCAAGTAGATTGACGACTCGTAGACCTTTTGAGGCTGAATTCGCGCCCTGTTCATTCCAATGGACTTGTTATGCATTGGCTATTTGCTGCAAAGAAACCACTGGTCATGGTTACATTGTGATTCCATATTTTACGATAATCAGTAGCATATATGTGCAGTACCAGGTAGTACGGAAGAGAAACGGGTAACCAGAAAGAGAGAGAGCTTACAAATTGAACCGGAATGAACAGATTGCCAAAAACATACTGACCGTTGGGACAGAAACGAACAAACGGCAAAATCGCGTTGCCCTGCTTGCGCAGCACAGAACAATTGCGTAATGCGGTCTGCGTCTGACGAACTCGGGGGCTGAATTCCGACAGACGTAACAAGGGCTGCCGATGAAGCTGTTTCAAACGATCTCGAGCGATATTGCTAACGGGTACCATGCGGAAATCCCAATTGTTCAATACATTTCCCGGTAGGACCATCAAGGTGTTGCTGTGACAGACGCAACAAAAGAAGCGACCAAAGAATTCGCAAAAACGCATCCGTCTCAAATAACCTACAAAAGAGAGAGAAGTACAAAGAGAATGTTTACACACAAAGGAACAAAAGAGACGGCAGTTGCACACCAGAATCCACACAAAAGTGCACATCGGGTAGACAGGCACCACAACCACAGTGTTAAGCAAAAAGTATGAAAACATGTAAAACGAATACGCTTTGACAGTCTATAAAAAGTGAGGCTTATTCCAGAACCGAATGGGACAAAAGACTGATGTTAATACTGGAGCGTGTCAAGCCATGTGCATATCTGGGCGGACGCCAGATTTAATACGGGGTTGTACGGCCACAGCTTATCCGTACTCGGGTAGCTGAGGATAACAGAACATACAAAAATGTATGGAGTAGAAGAGTGCTGTGAACGCATCGGCAATCTGAACGTCTTCAACATCCATGAGTCGAACTATGAAAGTATCCGAAAGCTAGTGCTGACGGTGCTGTAAAACTGAGCGCCACGCTCACACAAACAATAACTGTGTCTAGTAGACAGGAGGGGATATGTTCACTTCAATGTGGTCAAAATGATGAGGGGGATGGAGGAGCTCCAGATCGCAGTTTTTCGACCTGTGGGACATTCGGTGCTATCAGAATCAGAGCAACCGAGCGAGTAGCCAAGGCCGACACTGCGCAAATAAAAAGGCGTATATTGTACACTCCGAGAAAGACACAAGCAGACCAAAACGATGGGTGGTTGGATCTGCCTCATGTGCATGTTTGGAGGAGGGACAAAGTAAGACATGTGGTTTGCAGATTCAAAAGATCGAGAGGTCCGCACCTACAGGGTGCATATCTACACGGGCTCTAGCAAAAACAGCAAGTGTATTTGTAAGAACAGGAGTACCGTGAAGTTGGTGTAAACTTTCGCTACACACAGTCAGACAACCCCAGCATCTCCGGTAAAGCCCTAGACAGCCGTCTCATCCTTTAAAGACGCACTAGTAGTGCGCATTCTATTTATCCGTGGTGAAACTAATGGCCCAAGGGATGAGTAGCAGCTGCAGTGCTTTTTAGGATATGCAGTGGCTGTCTGACAAAGTATGGCTGTGACGAATCGCCTTAGAAAATTCGATTCAAAATCCCTTTCATCACACTCTAAAATCATTAACTGTCAAAGCTGGATTCAAATGCTATTGGACGATTGAGGTTGAGCAGAAGTCGAGGCTCAGGAGGCCAACCAAGTCCCCTGCATGCTGGACCATTTTTTACAAGCATTTCAAGTTGGACTTGTCCGACCAAGTATCACTGTTGGATGAATGCTAGTCTGTGATCCAGGCATCGATGTTCGCCTTCTAGCACAGTTCCGTAGTACATATCCCGACATGGTTTCACCACCAAAATTGAAAACAAAGGTAAACCAGCCTCTTTGGCCAATTACTAGGCCCGCTGAAATGTGGTTCGTTTGAGAGGAGCACCTTTCGGAAAGATGCGCAGGAGACCAATGAAAGCACTCTCCCCGTTTTGCATCTCTGGGACAAAGATGGAACTCGGTTTACTGTCTGTGTTGTACGACAGAATGTCGCAACTTAAAGCTACTGGAAGACGAAGAGCACCATTGCTGAAAAGGCTACGAAAAAGATGGCTGTTCTAATCGATTTGCCAAAAAGTACGTCATTGTCAGAGATCGCATTAAAATAATTATGATTGTGCCAGGATAAATATTTTCACATCGGTTCTTCACCAAGGAGACACCGCCTTCGAGTAACTGAATAGGAGAACTAAGATCGCAGCATCTCAAATATTTCCAGCAGGCTACTAGACCACGCTTGCAGAAAGTGCACCATCCGTTGCCCAATTCCTCAAGACTAGGCTCCCGGTGCAGTCATAACCACATAGTTCAAGTCCATTTGCCTAAACTCGAGGTGTAGGGCATTTCTGAAATACGACCAGACACATCGAAACGGATAATGGAACACGGTCTAGTGTCATTGCGGACAGGCACAGCCTGAAGTGACAATCGTTTTGCATAGAACACTTGGTCCGAAATGGACAGGAAATTCCAGTCGCAGAGTCCTTCGGGATCTCGTGTTGTTCCAAAACGACGCTATAGGGGAGGATACCAAACGCGTCTTGGTAACGAACGAAGCCTCCATGATCAGGCTCAGCCTGAAATAGGCAAGCCAAGTGTGCCTTTGCGGGCTCTTATTTTGCCATAACTGTAACCGGACCTAAGATACCGATCCAACCAGACGCTGGTGGCCAATGACAGGAGTCTTCATCGCTCCATCGGTCGACGCACGTGTGCTTGTATGGGTACGTGTTCAAGACACATATCAACTTGAGTACTGACCGGCACATGAAGTTACGAACATCATAAGTGAAACAACTTTCCGCAGAAGGTACAGTCCGGAATCTTTCTAATGCCACCACCAAAACATTCCCTGCGATGGACTTACGAGTGAGTTTCACTACAACATCGATTCTGAGTCAAGAACCTAAAATGAGCGCCCTGATCTGACTTTTCCTTTTGTGTGTACAACTTCTCCTGTTCGTGTCGAACAAGATATATTGGGAAAACTACCAGGCATCTGTGCACAGGAGTTCGGGAACATTTCTTTGCTTGGCTCAGCAAGAGTATAAGGAGGATGGTAACGAGTGCCATGCTGTTGTACCTGATTACTTCGAATCCTCAGGGTCAACACGCGAGAAGCAATTGAGCCCATCTACAGGATATTCGAACACTACACGATAAAAGGTCAGATGTCATCTACTGGCTACAGCAGAGGCAATCGTTATCCAACTCAAAAATCCAAAGAAATGTGCTCAAAAGAAAGTCGTACAGGGCCTTCAGCTGTCCCCACTAACGTTGGTGATCACGCCATGCCCTCTGATTTGACCCTGAGCAGATCAATCACTTAGCTATACGGATTCGACATTTCAATCCTTTTATTCATCGCATTTGATTAGTGTTTTACGTAACCCACTCATCGTGGTGTAATGGCTTGAAGATGGGCCACTGAAAACAAGCTCGCTACATCTAACTTTGATGTTTTTCCTGGGAACACCTCAACATTAATTTTGGTCAGTTTGCAATCCCACATACAAACTCAACCCAGCTCTCACGGAATGGTACGATACTTGTCGTAAAGAAGTATCTTCGTAACGTAAATCAGTACATTCCAGGGGTTTTAAGTTGCCATGTGAGTGACTTTATTTTTGAAGACAGTAGATGGTGGATACCACGGAAGTGAACTTGACTAAGAACATCTTAGGCGACGTGCAGATCGACAACCTAACGCACGTGAAGATTTTCATAAGTGATCTCTTAAAATGGTTTACTGAACGCTAGGCATTCTACTTGTAAGGATGGCGTGTCAGCGTCTATTGCTAAGGTGCGATACGTAGCAGGCAAGTTGATGAAAACGATGGAGAGCACTCACGTGTTTCCACAAATACACCGCAACCAGCACAGCGATTTCGTTGAGCTAAGAGAATAGACCTTCGCCTGGAAGGAGGAAATAGCGGGGATGCAAGTTTGGCAAGAAAGAGCGACCGCAGCGTTCAAAGTACACTGACCGAAATGAAGAAGTGACGAAGGACTACTCCTATCATATGGTCAACGCAAACTGCCAAAACAATAAAGCTGGTAGACCAAGCCTACTCGCTAACCAATGTCAACGAGACTGTGAGGTAGACGACGTCAAAATGGAGCACTGGCTATGAAAATAACCTCAATAATCAACGTAGTAAAAAGTTTCGAGCACACTAAGAAGAGCAATTCACACAGATAACCGGTTAACTCAGACCAAACGTGTCTCAAAACGTACTGGGTAAAATGTTTAAGGCCAGGCAGCGATGTTATATCAGCACAGTACAGTCACAACCCATCAGATATCAAGTGAAGATAAACCGGCATAAGTGAGATAGCATTCATCTCTCTGCATCGTAATCAACCTTAGACCACGGTTTACACAGCAACCATATAATGAGCAAACAGTCCGGTTAGGAGGCGACAACAAGAGCCCTCATGTTCACGGTTGCATCAGCTAAGACACAATGGGTGAAGCAGCACACGGGCCATACGAAGAAACGTTACGGAAGTTTCCGGAATGCTTGATCGTGGGTGCGAAAAACCCATACGGCTGGATGGGATAGTTTTACGCAATGACAAAATGGACAATACCAGAAAGGGATAGAGATAAGGGCTTTATCTGAGGAAAGTCAGAAAATGTTTCCTTTCGGGCGATAGCGACAACCAAACAACGAGGTCTACAGGTTCGGCACTAGTTACAGACACGAAAAACCTCATAAGCAAGCCCTGCAACTGTCTTTCCACCAAACAGTTAGAGAATTGGATAGTAAAGTGCACAGGTAGTAGGATGCTGAGCACTGGATTCAGGTTGAAATTTTCGATGGCAACAAAGGGCAACGTGGGTCATGTAGGCGCTGGATGCATCGCCCTAGACGAGGAAAAGACACCGAACGAGCAGTGACGCTTCGAACAGTATTCAGCTTATCAGAGAGAGAAGATGGAAGCTCAAGCGTCAGTTCTAAGAAAATTCGCAAAGTGGTGTGTTGCAGGACAGCTATAAGCAACTGTTTGTCTGGAGTCAACGTGTGTCGATTAAAATCAAAATACTGTAGCAATTAATGGAGAATATAAAAATGCAGTGTCGTGATCCCGCAATCGAGCGCGTCTGCAAACAGTGTAGCTTGACGCAACTGAGACGAGCAGATAAGAAAATCAGGAGACCTACAGCAACAGCAACCAGATGGTACCCACTTCGAGAACACAGTTGTTCAAAACTAGGAGAAGTAGTCGGATCTGAGTGTCTCATGTTTGTGACGGCATGTTACCTACTAATAAGATGCAGGTATCACACATGGCATTATGCGGGTCAAAAGTAGAGTCTGCACTTGGTTCAGAAGGACACTATTCGACTGACCAACGCTAATGATAAAAATCATTCGCGAAGACGTACAATGATGTATGAAACCATCAGTTTGATCTGGAGAGTGCTATCACGCATGGAGAGTGGATATACTCAGGGAACAAATGGACGTAAGGATTGCTTATGAAGTTACGTGGATACATCTGAGGACCAACTTCAAGTGAACCATGGATTGGGCCAATCAATCGGTCTAGTTCTTTCCCTTCCTCTGAGGCTGCCAGCAAACGAAAAAAATGTAACAAATGTGACATGGTGTCCAAGCTGCTATAGAATAGAGGTAGAAGCAGAGGAAGGCAACTTCACTAGGATTTACACTGAGAATGCTGCCCAAAGGAAAAGCACAGGGTGTGAGTGAACCAGTCAGTAAGTAGAATCATTGGAAGACATGAAAGAACATGCCCACAATAAAAAGGAGCCTGATAATTCGCACTATGATGCGCAATAGCGGTACACAAGGTTATTCGGCAACTCCTGGCGAAGTTGCGACCAAAAAGTGAGTGGGACAGTGGAGTCGGCAATTCGATTGGGATAACGGGTACGGAGGGATCAGGTGATCACTGCGGAAAACGTTTTTAGTTATAGAACTCGCCCGATGAAGGCCCCAAGAATGAACACCTTAGGTGGCTAACACACGTGAAGGAAGAACTGCAGCAAAAAAAAACACGACAGTCCGGCGCTCAAGGTGTTTGTGGTGAAGCAAGGGTATATACTACTGCGCTAGGAAGCAGTAGTATAACTGAAATGAGCGAAAACCAAGCCCAAACGGCGTCTTAACCCGATGAGAACGTTTGGGGGCCGCAAACGATGTGCTCTGGAAAGAAATACAGGAGTAGCGCCTGATAATTCTGAAAACCAGAGCACACGATGCAACCATTAGGAAGAGGTTCGCAGATGAGTGGAAATGCTGGTGGTCAGATAAAATGCGTGTGAGTACTCGATGCAATCGTGAACAACTCTGTTCGCTCCTCTTAGGTTGTTATAGGTGATCCACTCTGCAAATAGGTCTAGGAAAGCGCTGCGTTTTCGAGAATTGATATGAAGTGCCAAGGTACCCTCCACTAGAAAGCATCGAACTCATGTAGAGACTGCAGTAGGTCAAATTCAGCGAGAAAAGCATAATGGTAAGGAGTACCGATCTGGGGTGCGTGGAGCCACCTGTTGTGAGCCTGTCGCTGTCGGAAGTAAAATGGGGAGGATAAAAGAAAAAAGTTGAAACAATGGGGCGATTACCGTAGGAGAGAAAAACGGATATGAGCAACAGTCGAATGAAAAGACGACGAAGGCACAAATCGAAATCAGCGGACACTCATGTGTGAGCCCAACAAAAGCAAGAGACCCACCTATTGACAAAGTCGGATGGAATGAAAAAATCAACGGATAAAGCATATTTAATCTAGGTGCCTGATTAGCGAGCTAACCAGCTTCTTGCAGCTCACACAGGTGAGGATAGGCACGATCGAAGGCAACCAAGCCAGGAGAAATCTCCGTGTTTACTGTAGGTCACGGATGTGTCTGCGAGAGGAGTTCAGATCAATCAGACTTCAAACGTTTAGAAATTTCGGAAAGTAGCAAGTGTAGAAATCATTCAGCATTTTCCTCTGCCACAGTTACGCGAATTTCACGTGTTAGGAAGACTTCATCATGGAAAAGTTGGTCAGTAGGTGTGTACCAGTTTAGGACAACCTGCTTCAGTTCATCATCCCTGTGGAAATGTTGATGTTCCCAGAATTCCTTAGGGGTCCAAACAGGTGAAAATTATGTGACAGTCACGATTATAAGGAGGATGTGGCGATGCAATTCGGGAAATATTGATATCTCTCATCATAAGTGTAGGTTACTTCAAAGAGGAAAACTGTGTTAGAACCCATGTAGCATACAATCTTCGAAAAATGCATGCACTCGAACTAGCATACATGGCAACAAGTTGTCCAATGCTGTGATCGTCAGTGGTAGCTCTACGAACATTCCGAGGTGTTTGCGCAATTCAAAGGTTATGTTACAATTGAGTATCTTATCACCATACTGTAATCGGAGCCTTCTATAAAGTCTAGCTGGTTTTATGCATTCCTTCATCACAAATTACATGACATGTCAACCCACGCGTTACGTCTCTATGCTGTCCACAATCTTGAACAATTTGAAACAAATTTCCCTTTATAATTCCAAATAAGAATATCAGAAGACGAAGATTGTGAGATGAAACCGTTATCCACAATCTTCGTCTTCTGTTATTCTTATTTGGAATCCCGAATAACCTTATATTGAGTAGTACACTAGAGTAGAGCTTTTAGAAATTGGGGGATAGTTGCCAGCTCCGACAGTATGCATTAGTTCCATCTTGGAATGAACCGATGAACCTGAGAAAAATGCCCCAGATTGACTTGAACGACCAACGTAAAACGGACAGCAATTCCGTCCAGGTGTGGTCGACTGTGTGAAGCTTGTGAATCAGAGGACATGGTGACACAGAGCCGATTGCTGATCTTGTGCCGGTGCGCGGTCGCCGCGAAATGCAGTGGCCATGTGACGGAGACCAGGACCGTGTGTGTGTTTTGTGAGAGTGTGGCACCGCGCATCCAACGACGTCGAAAGGATGGGTCCGGTTCAAATGCGCACGGTTGGCTTTGTGAGGGGCGCATGGCTGTTCCTATCAGCGACTCAAATCGGGGAATGCGTTCTGTCTGTTTCCGAAAGTGTTGCTGCCATTAATGTCCATTTTACATGTTGTTTGTAAACTGCTGTGGTCCAATTATTCAGATATGATCCAAGTCAGGCAGCCCTCACTCATAAAAAAAATCCGTTTCGTCCTAGTTGGACGCGTTCACAGCGTACAACCCAGATGCCACCAGGAAACGATTCCATAACCCCTCGATGCTGCTGACGTGCTCAATAGGGGCGAAACAGTCATTTAGCGCTTTCCGGGTGAGTGGGGCTGTCCGGCTGGGAGTCAACTGTGACGAGCCATCGCTGGATAAAAAAACTAGTGACTATTTTTGAGACATTTACGACTGCCTAATAAGCGGTATTTTTCATCTAAATTCACATAAAGTCATCTATTAATCCACATATACACCAAACAACCCTCGCTGTTCTGAGTGATTGAACTTCCAATCTTTCCGAGGACCCGGAACAACATTGTGATTCATGTAGGCACTCCACAACAAAACATTGTGAAAGATCCAGCGCCATATCCATATGGGTAAATGTAAGTGGCTCCGCGTGGAAGACGGGCATACCAAGGTGAGCTTGAAGTTCATACGCTGTAGATGTGTCTACTAATCCGAATATATGGCAGAGTGTATAACAATTTCCAAGAGAGTACTAAATTCAGCCTGCTTAGCGCACTGAGAGAGAAGTATGGATAATGTGTGTGGAAAAATATCTCAATTTATACAATCGATTGTAATAAGCGGGGTAAATTGGACTCTAGATACTCTGCTGTACCTGTCTGTACAGTTGGTCAGTTTCTCGTATCCGTCGGTTTTAATTCAATGAAGAACGGTACATGCAGTCGGGAACTAACAAATTAGTGAAGTAATGGAGGTGCCCAAGA